ATAAATCAAAAAAGATAGTACATTTCCCTAAAAACTGTCGCAATGGGATGTTACTAAAACAAAAATATAATCACTAGAGAAGAAAAAATATGGAATGACTCACGATTTTGCGTGTCATGGGCCCAAGTCTGAAAAACTGAATAAAAAACCTCATTTTATTTTTGACATTACCATTAGCTGCAGAATAGGAAACTGTCTATGTTCTATGACGTTTCTGTCTTATCACAACTATAATCTAGTTCAGAAGAAAAGTTAAAGTATAATCAAAATTTGAGCTGTTTCCGATAGTGGTAGGATAATTTTAATATAACCAAGTGAAAAACTTTTTGGTAGTTCTCGTGTCATCTGGTGTAAAAGTACGCTCTGTACAATCTTTATACCAATATGTTTGCTCCGAAATGCTTTCTTCGAGCGAAACTACTAGTACAAGCACAAAAATACACACAGTTAGCTCCAAAATACCATTCAGAGGTAAAAGTTCAGCTTTTGATAATAGTTTTATTGCATAAAAGTTGAGTTCTTATGGACAAAATTGAGAATTACGAGCAGAATTTCGATTTGATGATTCAAAATAAATGTATTTTCGTAGTAATAAAGCCAATGTAAAATAAAGCCTTGCATAAAGCAAATTAAAAAAAGGGATCTATATCTTCTTCCCCACTGATATCATGATTCGAATGAAGATAAGAAAAACATTTTATCTGTTAACCAGAAAAAACATATAGATTTGCACGATGATCAGAGCCTCTTTGCCAGTTCTATTCGGGTTTCTCAAAATCTGACTCTATTTTAACTACGGAAAATGTCAAATTTGGTTTTCTATAGTGCGTTTTGTATACTGAATCACAACAAAATTAAGTTCAAAATCACAAAGCAAAAATAAATATGAAAATTTTGCTAATTTCTTAGGAATTTCATGTATTTTTGCCTCTTCAATATTTTGAAAATTTTTCACCCAAAAATGACTTCAGCAAGTCTAAAATGGGCTTTTTTCTATTTAACTCGATGAGCTCTATTCAACTATAGCCGGGAAAACGAAAAAATATTCTGTTCCACTTTTACATTATTGGCACCTTACTACCGATAGTCCTCTACAAACTGGCAAAATTTGGAGTAAATTCGCATGAGGAGACTCTTTTAAATCAAGGAAAATTGCTGTTTCTGTAGCAAAACTGCTATTCTCATGGAAGATTTTTTTCATCGAAAATTCAAAAAAAAACAATCACTTCCCATTTATAATATAAAAAGCACACACCTACAGTCTGTGTAAGATCATTATTAAAGAATGGAAAAAACCATGACATCCCGATCCTTATATTTATCTAGTCATTGTTTTCAAAGAATAATCAATCAATTTGGTTGTTTTGTACGCATTTATAATGATTTAAGTAATGGGAGATTATGGAACGATCTTGTTTCGAAGAAGACACCTTAATCTGTATTATCATGTCTCTAGCTCATATTTTAATTATCATTTAGTCATGAAAACTTGTTCAAACAAAAAATCATATTTCTAGTAGAAGAAATTATGTAGTAATATATGTGTGCTGTTCGTGCTAGTGACAGTCGCTTATCATCCTACGAAGTTGATTAATATTTTTCCTCTGAAAGAGAATTTGTGCTTAAAGCCGTTTTCTAATATAAATATTTTACGATCACGTTTTTTTACCATTTCTTTTTACTAGCAGATTTTTGAATGCATGAATTTTTTTTTTCTCATACGTGCTTATTGTACTGAATAATTTTTGCTAACAACAAAAAGTGTCCCATAAAAATAAAACGCGTTGTACTTGCGAGAAACAAGAAGAGAAATGATGGAAAAAAAAAGAAGTAAATGACGATGCAGTTTAGAAGAAAAAGTGACACTCCCAACACCAAGTAAGTACATCCATTCACTTTTTTTTCTACAGCGTAATGAAACAAATTGTTTACATGATAGTTTCTTCAGTATATGCAATTTCAGGACATAATGAAGTAAGCATAATTAGGATGGTAAACGACGCTCTGAACAAGATCTTTTCGAAATTAAGAACTATAAGTACTTAGATGATTGAATAGTATAGTATAACAGAATATTACCAGTCCTCTGATATTTATTATTGATCTCTACTCTCAAACTGACTGAAATTGATAAACGCAGAGAAGTGTGAAATCTTTAAATAAGGCTTTATAATAGAATTTCATATCTCTTTAGTAAATGCGTAGAAACTTACAACAAAATAACAAAAAAGAATTTTATAGGTCTCTCTTTCGCCTCTTGATGAAACTTGTGGAACATGGAATGCAAAAAGAATGGCAGGTTTCTACGGAAAGGCTAAGAGTGTAAGGTTTTATATGCTTACGAAAAGGAAAATTGCATTGACTAATAAAGAAAAAAATTGTTTACATAGACAAAGCAAAACAGGAAAACAATTTTAAAATTCATAGAAATTTGCTAAATTAAAAGAGTACCAACTAAATAAAGTAAGTGTGTAACGTTTTGTGAAAGTCATAGTTCTTAAGCCGAGCAACATACATTGGGAAATATTTTATTTTTAAAAATTTTTCTTTCAGATGGTAATTAAGCAAAGTCTAGCTCCAACTTAAACACTGTCTGTAATTCGCGTTAATAAAACCCATTTGCACAAAAGTGGCGTATACCCAAAACGTTATGTTACTTAAACTAAATAGTCAGCTGCCGCCCTAGACAAAATTCTAGGCACTTCCTGTCTATTTCCTACTAAGATCTTACAAGATCCTAACACTTAAGATTCATATAATAACTTCCTAACAGAATCCTAAATTTATAGGATCCTACTAGGATTTCGCTTAAGTTTGTTTAGGATCCTAACAGAATCTTAGAAAATCCTATGACTTTCGGGTATACCTGATTTCATTAGGGTTCTGTAGGATTTTGTTGAGACCCTACGAAATTTAAGCGAAATCTTAGTAGGATACTGGTAGGATATGTCTCGGATCCTCATAGGACTTTTACTAGGGTAGGCTTTGCATAATTACCATTTGAAAGAAAAAATTTTCAACTACAAAATAAGACGTTCTCCAACTCTATACGTTGCTCAGTTAGAAGATTTATGAATTTTACACAACGTTACGGACTTACTTAAAAGTTGACTTTTAAGTGGATAAATGGTTTAAAACATTCTACATAATCAAATTAGAGTAGGCATGCAACAGTACCAATACCATCAATACCAGCATCTGAAGTATTGATTGGTTAATTGGTTGCACAGCGAATTTGTTACTCATATATTTTAACATGTTTGGAGTTAGCAGGCCGCTTGATAAAATCTGTTCACATTATCAGACTTCTTCTTCTCGAAGCGAATGGACAACTATATGAATTCGACAACAGTCATAATCTTTATCTCGTGTACGGTGGACCTCCCTATTCGAGTCTGACCACTTTTTATCAGAATATTTGCAAGTCTTAATTAGATCAAACAAACATCAGGGGGCAGTAAAGTGCGAATGAGTGCAAAAAAGTGGCCTCTATTCCCAAAGAGCTTTCCTGTTCTATATAATGATATAATTTATTATCATAGAGAAAAAGATAAACCAGAAAAGAACAAAAACATCTTTTTTCTTCTTCTTTTAACTTATTAAAGTCCTCCTATTCGTTCGGCACTTCTCTACACAGTGAGCAACAACATGGATATTAGGTGGAAGAACGTAAGTGAGCTTTTTCGTGATTCGAATGGAGTGAAATATACTTTAGCTAACGGGCGATCTAATGGAGAAAGAATTTTTATTCCAGCACTTAAGGTCGTTGAGAAAATCAGTTCTCAAAAATTCGCTGGTTTTCAGCGGCCTCTGGGGAAAAAGAGTGAATAAAGAAATTATACACATTCTGGAAGAAGAGCTCTTCCTCTGTCGATTCGTATAAAACGTTTTGTTCTACGACTTTTCTGTCTCAGTCAATAATTATTCTGTCTTTACTAAGTGTTTTCTCAAATATCATCTTCAGTAAAGTGAGGTTTCCAACCTTTCCCAAACTCAGACCTAAACGAAACTTTCGCAGAATGTTCTTCTATAACTGATACGTGTACTCAATTAGCACAAAAATGCACAATATCTTCAGACCCGAGTAACAGTTTTTCCACAATTCTTGGGTTTTCCAGCTACTATGCATTTTTCTCAGCTTGGAAATACTTTTATCACAACAATCTATACATTTCTGGACTCAGCGTGGAAACTGCGTCGAATGAAATGTCAGTTGCATGTTTTAATGGGCAAAAAATCATTCCATTTGATGAAATGACAGATTTGCAGGATTTGGGCTGGACACGTGAACATGTGCCATAAAAGTGATACGAAGGCCTCTAAATACTATTTTTATCGGTTTTCGTATGTGCTCTTTCCAGTGGTGTGATTTACAAGTTCAAAACTATTTTTATCAGGGTTTTTTATAGATCCAGTCTCTGTAAAACCTGATTCAGAGTGTTTTTGAACTGCGTGGATCACATCATCGGAAAGAGTGCATACGAAAACCTATAAAAATAGTATTTAGGGGCCTTTAGGGGGTATCACTTTTATGGCACATGTCCACGTCCGTAGTCAAAACTGCCCACTGTGCTCTATCCCTTTCACCTCTTACATAACACATGTGAGAAAACTGAGCGATCTGTATAAAATTGCTCGTTCTTATTTTCTATGAAAGATATTAAAGCACTGATAACAATCATTTCTAGAAATTATCATCATGTTACGAGTATAATACTAGTACCGACCAATATCAGTACTTCGGTACTCTACTGGTACTGTTGCATGCCTAAATTAGAGTTTCTTCGTGAAGAAATGACAAGAAATGATCTAAAGATCTGAAATTTTCTAGACCGATCAAATCTTAAATGTAGAATAAATATATCGAAGAGAAAAGATCTATTAGTTGGTTATCCAAACAATATTGTGTGCAATTTCAAGACAAATTATTTTTTCAATTTCGTAGTTTTCCAATTAGTATGTTCCGAAAAAATCCGAAAAAACATTAATCACCGTTCAGTATGAGTGCAAATAAATTTTTCATTCATTTTTCTCAATTTCGTGCGTTATTTTTGAAAACCATTTTACTGGCTCGAAGAAAAAGAGGTCCAACAATAATTGAAATATTATTAGCATGTGTCTTTCTTGGCTTACTAATCGGTCTACGTTATGTTGTTGATCGTCGATACTATGGATCATATCAAGTATCGCGTTTTCGACCACAGGATAAGATGACACTGAACCGAACAAATGGAACAGCAAATTTAATTTATTATTACCCATCATCGGTATGTGTTGATTCAATTATTAATTCAACAATAGAAAAATTACAAACAAGTTGGCCGTTATTTTCTCCCATTGGTAAATGTAGATCATTCATTTTCTCATAAATTTGCCATTCACGATTGCCGTCATTTTAGTTCAAAGTATATCAAATCCGAATGTTGATAATTTACCAATGGCTACACAACAGATAATATATGCATTTATTTATTTTACAAATATCGGATCAACATGTAATAGTTCAGCGGGAATGCCAGATCAGATAACATACACATTGCGATTGCAGGAGTAAAAAGAAAATAGTAAACGTTTGTCCCATGATTTTACTTAGTATTTGTTTCTGTTAAATTTAGAAATGGTGTTTTTAATTATCGAGCTGAACAAACAGTGATACAACCAACAAATTATCTATGGAAAACATCTCCAGAAGCTTACTGTCAAGGTAATTATTGATTTATACTGTATGAATTGAATAAATTTATTTTAGCATAAGACAACAGACATCATTGATGCCTGAGTAGTTCCATTTGAAATTTCTAATTGATAAATAAATTTTAGGATATAATGATAGTATTGTGTTTATACTAACTGAATAATTAAAAATTACTGAGATCTATCTAAAACTTCTAGAAAAAGGCTCTATCATTATTCTATCCTAGTAGCAAAAAAGTCTAGTGCTTATAACTTAAAATTTTCTACATATAAACTGTCAATTCTACAGAGACGATGCATGAGTGCATCGAGCAAACAGTTCTTTTGATTATGCCTATGTATATCTTGTAATAAAATATTATTATGGTATAGCTTATTTGAGAGAACAGCGAAATCTGATAGACAAAAACTAAATTAAATTAAAATTAAAAGTTTTAAATTATTAAAATTCTTAAATAGTGAAGGTACTTTCTCCTCACTTTCGAATTATCATGTCATCATCTTTTTGTTGAAAGAATTTAACTAATGGTACTTTTATAAATATTCGAATACTGTTCTTTTGAAAGATATGTTTCTATAAAATAACACTTCAAGGCGAAAGAGCTGCGGACCGGTGCAAATATCAACTGAGAGTTTTTTTGAGGAAGATTGCTTCGTTCTGATCCATAGAACACACTTTCAGATAAATAACGAAAAGTCGGTGGGATTTCAACACATTCTAAAGATTAAGAGGATTTAGATCAGCATTTAGAGTTCTCTGGTCTTACAGTCATGTCACAGTAAAGACTTTTCTCTGCTTGAGCCAAAAAATTCACCAGAGGTACTTAAAACACTTCCGAAGAGGTAGGTTTTAGAAATTTTCTCTAGATCTTTCTATAATGAGTTATAGGGTTTTTGATACAAGCTTTATGCTTTCAGAATACAAGCGGTATACTAAAATGGTACAGTAAACCTACCAAAAAATCACAAAATCAATTTTGTATAAATAGAAGTTCGAATAAATAGAGTTAGTCTTGAAGTAAATTGCATGCAATACGAGATCCACTGTTCTGTATCTTTCTACTGTACAAAGATGCCTGTTTTTAACAACTGAAAGATTTTGAGTATCTTTTCTGTAACTTGAGAAAGAAAAAGTTCTAGAAAATACTTCGATATTATTACAGCCCAAAAATACCGTTCGAGAAGAATGTAGAACCAAATTTAAAAGCTATAAAGTAGATCCATCTTAAGCAAAATACATATGTTTTTCTCGTAGTGTCAAGTCAAGATTTAACGAAAAACTTCGAATTCTTTAAGTGTTTAAGACATTTAAAAATGAAATTTTTATAATCGTGTGTCGTCTCTACAGAATACAAATTTTGGACCAATTGTATCTAGAGCTTTAAAGAACAACATCTCGAAAGAAAATTGTTTAATTCAGTTTTCTCATCACAGTTTTTTCGCTGTAACTTCCCATTTTCTGTTTGAATATATCATGCTTTTGTTAAACATCCCAGAGTCATTAGGGTCGATATTTTTGAAAAAAAAGGTTGGATGATATCGATTAACTGGCAAAAGCAGAGTGCTTTTGAGAATGAAAACAGTATTTATGGATATAAGCGAGTCTTTGATGGAAATATTTTCAAGCTCAGATATAGGACTGAGAAAGTTCCCATTACGTTGATTTAAAGCTAACTATTTTCTTAGTTACCGTTAAAATAACGGTAACTATCAGTCAGTTCATTTCTTCTTCAAAGACAATTAATCTCTATCTGTCAAAAGATTATTCTTTTATCGATCTATGAAAAACACGTCAACTCTGTCCTACTCTGACACTATTTAGACTTCTAAGAGAAATTTTTCTGTTTAAAGAATAAAATATAAAAAGAACAAATTCTATATTTTCATAAAATGTTCATCTTTTACATATTCAAGGAGAAGAGTGCTCGCTAAAAATTTATTTCGTATTGTATCCCGACATGTGGGCCGATAAAAAATGTTCTATGACGGCGTTTGAGTTTTGTCTGATCAACGGCGCCTAATTGTATAATTTTTGTTCGCTTTCGGTAGCTGCAGCGCAAACTTTTTCACTCGCCGGCGTGAGAGTGAAGAATCTTGAAATCGAGGGCTAAATTTGTTTCCTTCACAGTGCTACTATTTAATGCAAAAATTATCTCAACCAAAAAATGCGACTTGCCGCTGTTCTTTTCAAATTCTGAATGCAAATGTTTCATCATATGAGAAAAGGAGATAGACATTCTGTTGATGGAAGAGAAAGTTAAAAAATGTTCCCTAGTCTTTTATAAGTATGAAATAATTGTTATGAAGTGAATTTTGTCTCGTTTATCGCATCGCAATCCAACGTTGAATATCAGTCCCATTGTGCTGAACACATTCACAGACTGTTGCTACTTTCATAGTTGTTTTATCTGTCATGATCTTTCAGGCAATTTGTCGTAGTTTACATGGAATAAAATTTGAATTAGGTTGAGATTTGTATCGCTTAGCCAAAACCATTCAATCTTTTATCAATCAGTAACAATTGTGAAAGCAACGGCAAAAATGAATATAGCACTTCGCAAACCCATGCACTCGAAGCGTTTTCACGATCTTACCCAACGTCGGTTACTGCAGTTGGCGGCAGAATTTAACCTCAAAATTTTGGTTGCGGCGGCGGCGCATATCGTTAATTGTACCAACTTCGCGAACTAAAATTAAATTAATTAGAGAAGATCCAATACCATTTTTATACTGTAGTAGTTTAAAGTATACGAGTCGTACACGAAACTGATGTATTTTTTAGAAAAGAATTCCTTTTTAGCTTTTTAGATTCAATTCAATTACTATTTGATCAAAGATCATGAACATATAAAATAGTGAAATGTTTTTAGCAAAGCTAGTTCAAGGTGACAAGTGCCTTGCGATATGTAAATTCGTATATATATGGCTATTATAGTGCTTTTATTTTATTCTTTCAATAGAAAAACTTCTCTTAGAAGTCTAAATAGTATTAGAGTAGAATAAAAGAAAAGTAGATGTGTTTTTGATACATTGATAAAAGAAGAAGAATCTTTTGACAGATAGAAGTTAATGATCTTTGAAGAAGTATTCAAATCAATTAGAAAAGAAAATGAAATTCCTGTATACATACATTTATATAAAAATTATTATAAAAGGAAATGTTGTGTAACAGCAGAATACAGGATTACATGCGGAATAGAGGAACAATGCAACCGATCGACTGGAATATATGTTGAAATGTGCCCTCATTATTTCAATGAAAAATCCTCAGTTAATAATCTCATCCCATAGTGCGATTTTCCAGATTAGTTTGAATTAGTGTCGCGCTGACACAGTTTGTTCAAAGTTCAAATTTTTGTAAACACAGCTAAAGCTATAAGTTTCTTCTAGCAACTGTTGTAATTGCAACTGTTTTTCTAGTTATCGTTATCGATAACGGCCGAAGAAGTAACAGAAACTTTTTCAGTCCTACTCAGATATTGCGTTCTCACCCTTTTTATACGTCACGAAAAGAAATCCATTTTTCATCGATATTCTTATACATTGGTCGATTTGTGGTATAATTTCTTCTTCGTGTCATTACTATACGGTATTCAGAATCGAATATATTTGAGATAGATTACTTAGTACTAAAAAATGTTTACTTTCTTTTAGATACAAGCAATACTGCCAATTATACTGGTGCATTTTTGGGTATGCAGTACTTCATAGATTTAGCCCTAATTGAATATTCTACAAATGTTCCAATGAATGATTTATCGAACGTATGTGCACTTTGATTCAAGCTTTTCTCTTACTTCACAGATGGTTTCTAACAAGACCACCTTGTAAATTTCAAATGTGACTAACAGAAAATTGATTCAGACTATTCTGCTAATTTGTTCTAATCATCACATTTACGTCTCACAGCTATCACTCCAACGTCGCGCACATCACTATCAAACACTTGCATAGCTTATTTAAAGCACCAGTATGGCCCAACTGTTCATTGTTATGTAAATGTAAAAAACAGCCCTTTACTAGAGACCCTTACTAGAAACCCTACCGAAAATATGAAGGTAAGCCATACCATATGATTTAGTTTTCCACTTAGATCAAAAATATCAGACGGTTGTTGTATAAATAGCCGTAGAATATTTTTTACGATAGTTTTTCTCTCCAATGGATTCATTTTAGTACGGTTCAGAATTGTCAAAGAACCTAACTTCTGATCAATTTGTCGACAAAAAATTGCAGATAGATATAATTTTGTATTTCCTACTGACGAGGGATCTTTTCCAACTGTCTCATCACTTTCTGGTCGAAACCCAGTGGGTTATAGATAATCGACTACACTGCTTCCGAATATCCATATGCAAAAGTTCCTAAAACTTTTACTTAATAGATTACGATTGTATCCCACGAAATTCTTATCAAAGTGAGACATCTCCCATCTCTGTATGACCTTTCTTTGCAAAGTTATAGAATTTATAAGAAAAGCCCTAAATGAATTTCTTATTTCTGTAGCTTTGAGCTTACAATGAACATTTAGGGCTTTACATGTAAATTCTATAACTTTGCAAAGAAAAGTCATGTAGAGCTGGGAGATATCTCATTTTTATAAGAATTTCGTGGGCTGCAATCGTAATCTATTATATGAAAGTTTTAGGGACTTTTCGAGCTTTCTGGAAAACCGGTTTGCAATCAGAAAGCGATTAGATAGTTAGAAAAGGTTCCTCGTGAGTGATGTAACTAAATGAAATATGCGCTTACTAATTTTTGATTCAGATCAGAATTTATTATTTTTTCTAAAACACACGATCCTTAGGAAAAGTGCTAACACTATATATTTGGAATAAGTCTCGGAACCATCAGCAAAATCCGATTCGTAGATTCAAATACTAAGATTTAGGGTAGAGCGAAAGAACACTTTGTGACCTGCAAAACATTCTAATGAGTTAAGCTGAAAAAATACCTTCTTCTACAGTCAGTATGTGTATTGTCATTAGGATCGGCTCATCGTATGTGAACGAACGATTATTGTTTGACTGTGTCAACGTCATTATGCTTCTTGTGAGGAATTTCCATGTTCTATTATCAAAATTTGCAAAACTTGAAATGGCAAATGTTCATCTGTTTAACCGTTGTACCGTTTTGTTCACTTCTAGTACCGCAGGAAAGAATACATTATTTCTTTACTTGTTAGTTTTCTATTTTAAGGTTCACTTAGATCATCTTGGCTGTCCAGCTTATTATGATGATCAATTAAATTCTGTTTATAACTTTTTTGTTCCAATATTCATTTCAACTATTTACATGATTACATTTATTATGAACGTTGGCTATATTGTCGAAGAACGACATACAAAAACAAAAGTAATAAATAATTTGAATTTAAATTTTGTTTAAACAGACTTTTTCTTTTCTTTTCAGGAGTATCTTCGAATATTTGGTTTACGTTCATGGATAAATAATTTAGTATGGGTTTGTCGATCAATGTGTTTCTATCTTGTTCTATCAGCTCTTATAACTGGCCTTGCTAATGTTGTATTACCAAGTTCCGGAACCAGATTCAACAGTGTCAGTAAAGCATTGTTTAATAACACACATTGGACCGTTATACTCACCATATTATTTATGTATGTATACATACTCATGTAGTATTTTCAACAAAATACAAAAATTAAATATGTTTGGAATAAATTGTGATTGACAAAAGATAAAAACTTTTATATTTTTCTACATTTTCTTTCGAGAATCGATAAACTTACACTCTGGTACACCTAATATCTAAGTTCGATCGATGTGCTGAAGTGTAGTCATATACTCCATGTATAAAACACAAATTTTTATCTTTTATCAATTATAAACTATTTCAAAAAAATTCATTTCCAGTTGTATTTTAGTACAACAATAGTAGCTAATAGTTAACTTTTCCTATTAAAATGTTCTCTTTCTTCAGATATTCTATTCAAATGTCAACTTTTGGTGTTCTAATTGGACAATTTTTTTCTACACGTAAGTCTAAACAGAGCATAAAAATAATTTTGATATTTTAAACTCAACTTATTTGAACTAAATAAATTTTATTTTACAAGCACTTTTTCATACAAAATCATTTTCATTCTTTAACCGCACTAAACTCGCGTGACTTGTAGAGAAATTGTAACAGTGAATTTGGCTTTTCTCTGGTTAAGCGGCAAGACGACGATAAGTAAGTAGATCGGTAACCGTCACTGAAGATCGAATATGTCTGATGTGTACTCTCAACTGTGTTGAGAAAAAAGTTACAGAAAGGCAGATGAATTATGAAACAGGACTTGATGGAATTAGAAAGTGAATTTTAACACGGTTAGAAGTAGACAAACATGTAAAAAGAAAATATACGGCTTGTCCAAGTGTGACGCTGTGACATTTTTGACACAGTAATTTGAGCTTTCCTCAAAAAGTGTATACTAAGTGTCTACTTTTGGTATAAAAATGAAGGTATGTGGTTAAGGACTCAAACTTTTAGAAGCGTTTTTCGGCACGTGACGCTGTGACAAAAAAAGGCTTTAAATTCGAAGTCCTTCTCGTTAAAAGCTAATTTGCTGCG